GTTTTGGGCAACTTGCTTAATTTTGATGTTATTAGCTTTCGAGACAAGCATTACACTCTGGGTCAGATAAGCCTTTGGGAGGTAAAGTCTACTCATCTGATTACGGGATAGCCTCTTTATTTAAGGACTCTTCTAATGTACCTAACAAAGATTCGTCAAGTTATCTAGTGGATATTTCTTCTTTGTCTATCACTATTGGGCTTTCTGTCCTCCCTTTCTATGTGGGACATTTTGTGTATACTTAGATTTCTCAGACAAATCGGCTCCATAAAATGTTAACAAGAATACATCGGAGAGACGAGAATGACAATAAGCACAAGGATCAAAGAACATCAGCGATTATGCAGAAAGATCGGAGATGTCTAAACACATCTCCTTGCTTGTCCACAAAATTTACTGGAGTGCAACGGAATGACTGGCCACATATGGAGAGCACGCCAGAAAACTGAATATCAGGGAGGCCTCGGGCATCTTCTTACAAAAAACCCGATGAACAGGAGATTGGAAGGAGGAAGAATCTGTCTGGGCAGACTTGGAGATTCAAATAAGGCTAAAAGAAGACGCTTGGTCCAAGAACTATTCAACAGCAGGAAGATATCACCAAGAAGAGGATCATGGGGAACAAAGGGAAGTCAAGAAAATGGTAGTGTAGTGAGAAAAGTCTAACTTGGAATTGGTCTAAAACTTTACCGATGTGGGATAGGAAATTAAAGCCAGAAACAAGTATATTATGCACCATTAGAGGTGCTAGGCCAGTGATTCCTAAACTGTGCGCCGCGGCTTCTTTAGAGGCCCCGTGAAATATTGTATAAGCTTTAATTTCAGAAAATGTGCAGTGATTTGCAGGCTCATCCGTCACATTAATTATTAAATATTAATTTAATGTTAATAAAGTAAAAAAATAATGAAAATACACGAGTTTTATTTATTTTTATCTCTTACTTACGAATAGCCATACTTAGGGTAGGGCGCCATGGAAAAATTTTAATTGAAAAAGGGCGCCGCGACTAGGAAAAGTTTAGGAGTCACTGTGCTAGGCTAAAAGTATAGGTGTGCAGGAGATAGGTCCGCAGTATTCGTAGGTGTTCTTGTGGGTATTTTGATAGTGTCTTAATGAAAGGTAATGGTGCCATGTCTGACCAAAAAGCAAGGTATACTAACCAATATGCGTACTAACAGCTGATTAATGTCTTAAGCTTACATTAGACTGTCAATTTAAGAGTGCTTTATGACAAGCAAGAGAGAAAAAAGAGAAGGGATGCATTTTCGCATTAGCGATTCCGAATAAAGCCAGACACAGGGTCACAAAGAATAAGGTACAATTTAAGTATATATGATAGAGGATAGCTTAATGAGTCTTAGGTAGTTGGAGAGGAAGATGCCTGGGCATGGAAATTATCGGCATTCAATCCACGAATATGACGAAAATTGAGGGCTACTAGGCAGCTAGATTTCAGAAAGCCAGATAGTGATTTTCATGTGTAACAGCGACCAATTGACAGGCGAGGTGAAAGAACGGAGAGCTGAATGAAGATAAAAAGCCCTACAAATGGAACATGGAACGTGGAACCGATGATGATAAATACGCTTCACCATATCCATTGAAAACAAAACTTCTTTAAGCGAAATTCAGCAGCACAGAATGGCGTAAGTGAATAAATGAGCCATTCTAAATGAGCAGTAGATATGAATACCAAGATAGTGTGGCCTTTTGTTTGATCACAGTCTCCTTTAGCTTTATAGTGTTGGATCGACCTCGTTTTCGCAACTTGGTCGGAGCACCAGGGGACTTTGTGGAGCGTACCTAGTCATGTCTGAGACTGTACCAAGCTAATAGTCAGATACTGGAAATCATGACTACTGTGACAGATGTCACAGGACTAAATGCGCACCATAAGGTTTGCCTGGTGCTCCGAACAATTCGAGACGAGGCCAAACCAACGCTATAGAGCTAAAGGATACCTAGACCAAAGAGAAGGCCACACCATATTGGACTTCATGCAAACGATCTAGTAAATTTAGTCATCTTGTCAAGTATATTAATCAAATCAGGACATTCTTCTACACTTTATGTTGTTAAAACCCTATTTCCCTGAATGCCTAAAAAGTTCATGGAACCGATGATGATGATTACGCTTCACTATATCCATTGGAAACGACACTTCTTTGAGCGAAATTCAGCAGCACAGAATGGCGTAAATGGATAAATCAGCTATGCTAAGTGAGTAGTAGATATGAATACTAAGATAGTGTGGCCTTCTGTTTGGTCACAGTATCCTTTAGCTTTATAGTGTTGGATCGACCTCGTTTTCGCAACTTGGTCGGAGCAACAGGGGGACCTTGTGGAGCGTACCTAGTCATGTTCCCTACGTAATAGTATCCGTGATTTCCAGTATCCGACACTTAACTTGGTACAGTCCAAAACGTTTCGCAATCATCGTAGCCGACATTGTCAGTAAGAGATGCCATCGTCAGCAGAGCTACAACTAATCACATCTTGTCATTTTGATGAATTGTAATTCTGTACTGACGATGACACTCTCACTGACGGCGCCGACAGAATGTCTGGGACTGTACCAAGTTAATAGTCAGATACTGGAAATCACGACAGATGACACAGGACTAGGTGCGCACCATAGGACATTCTTCTAGACTGTTTGTTATGTTGTCAAAATCCTATTTCCCTGAATGCCTAAAACGTTCCTCAGATAAGTTAGTTGCGAGGTTTTGTGCTTAGTTAGTCACCATTCTTTGCATTACGCTTTGGGAATTTCGTTAATAAATTGTCTGTAAATCCAAAAATTTCTGTCACAAAAGATAGACAAAAGTTAAGCAAGAATTAATCGGGATTACAATACGGCGCATAGATAACTTTTTCGTACAAATCAAACGGCAAATTCAAGGTAATGATTGGGTTTCTGATGAGACCAGTTTACATATCCCCTTTACCCATTATTTTGTATAGAGTGAAAGTTCTAATGACCTGAGAACATTAATAAAAAATTCGAAACTTAGCTTTTATTCAAATAATAAGTTCCCTTACTTCAGACTTGGTTATAAGCTTGAACTCGCCCAGATCAAACAAGAATTAGTACTAACCGCGGCAAATTGGTCAAGACGTAAGAACCTTACACCAAATCTTTCTCTGTAGAGAGCATAGTGACAGTGCGAAAATAGAAATGTTTTTTATCAAGTCCGATATTTTTAAGAAGAATGACAGTGGAAAGTTCAGTAAGGGCCTTAACCTTGTCTCATAGACGCGTATTGAAATTCTACCTGTTTAACATTAAATAAACAGGACATGTTTTTGTCGAATATCTCCCATAAAAATTATACATAATTTTACACACAGAATATACTACATATTGAATGATAATTTTGATGACCAAATTCAACATAAATAAATCATGCAAATAATGTGAATTGTTTAAAGGCCGAAAATGCATTATTTTAAAATGTAGTGCTAAGGAATAAGGCATAGAAGAATTATAATAAAGGCAATAGATAAAACGAATACTTACCCTTAAAAGAACTTTGTCGAGTTAATTTCGAGCGATATTGGTCTTCCATAGCAGTTATGCTCCCTCCTAAAACATGATCTTGTCTGGATTTCTTGTCAAAAAATTTTGAGTCTACGAGTCTGGTTTGAGCCCTCTGTTCACTGCTCTTCTTTCGGCCAGAATGATCCATGCGTCTTCCAAGTAAGTTGAGGTCAGGTTCTATGCACAACTCCATACCTCCAGCATCCAAGCTTGGCGTCAGAGTAAGTAGGCTCATATTGTCAGCATCATCATTACGTAGATTATAATCATCTTCAGGAGTGATACCACTTAGACCTAGTAGAGATGAAAAAATTCATATACAATAAATTTCAGATAGACGTAAGGCGGTGCAACACAGAACTTAGTAAACGATAACAACCCGTACTCAAATTTTGTAAAATAACTATAAAATTCTGCATATATGACAGGACTGCATACAAAATGAATATAAACGAAATAAATGAATGGTTCGATCCTGTTTTCCCGACTTGGTCGTGAGATACGCACTTTGTCCGGAGTCCAGTGTCCATGATCATTTTCAATCGGAACGTGGACTTGGTACATTCCCAGACGTCACGGCGGCATCGTCAGTGAGCCTTCTTAGCCTTATTATCAGAGACAAGTTAAGTCGGTCCTTTGACCAACTGTCTGCTGAACAGTTGTGGTATCTCTCATGTCCTGGTGCATTTATTTATCCTATATCCCCGAATTACCACTTCATTATCACAATGTCTTTCTCGTTTATTTAAGCCTAATTCAGGTGTGTCCTGATGAGTTCGTTTTGAGACCTATTCAAATTCCCCGCTGGTTGGGGATTCTGATTTGATTTTTGTCCACAATCCTCTTAATCCACTTCCTATCAGTCTCCCTCTTATCGCCCTGGTTCAGTGATTTACTCGATAACCCCTGAAAAATCAAAGTTACTAGTCCTAGCCAGT